CAGGAAACAGTCCTTGTCCTCCATAAAATGTGCTGGACACATCTGAATATTTGGGTTAAACTGTTCTGGAACAGTGTTGTAAATACAACTTAACCACTGATTTCTAGTCGTGTCCTCTTTTGGAAGGCCAAACAAAGTAGTTTCGCTTTCACAATGAAACAGCGTCAGTGAGCGGAGGCCGGAGGCCTAGAGTGAGCCAGGGTCTAGAGTGAGCGGAGGCCGGCTTGAGTGAGCAGAGTCGGGCGGGCTTGAGAACGGCGATTTGACGAAGGAGCGTCCGGCAGGCTTGCGGCAACCACATGTGATGACGCCTTCTTTCTTTGCGTGAACATTTGGGCGGTGTTATGCAAATCTTCCCACATTGTGATGTAGACATGTGGGGGCGTGTTAGAACGAGCCGTTTTAGGTAGGCTTGGTTGACTCTTAACTTTTATAAAGAATATCTCTTTGGATTTGAGACTTTAGTCTTTGCAACTTTACAGATCTTCTTTATGTACCAAGAGCTTGTAACACTCCAAAGAGAAAGGAAAAATTTTAATCGCATCATATGACCCCTTTAATGTAGTTTTCATTTTTCAGTACATGACTCATCTCTGCACCACAAGATGTATTGACAGACAGCACCAGACCACTTTCACTTTGAATACAGGGCATGTTAACAAGGGAAGACCCAAATGACAGGCAAATAAAGAACATTTCTCATTTTTACAAATGTCTTGTGAAATTTTTAATTTTAAACTTTATTATAACTATGAAATGCTGACATGATAATATTATGGATTATCAATTTGCCTCCATGATGGCTCATACAAGCATGATGCTTAATGACTGCATGGACCACTTTGGGAAACTATTATAAACTTTTCATAGGATGAATTGCTTCTAACTGTCAGCTGGAGAACAGCTGAAAATTTCAAGCTATCCCCTTACACATTAATCTTAGGGACTGAATGAAGCAAAAAAATATGGGATGGACCTTATAGACAACAAATTATTCCTTTTACATATCCTTCAGTTACACTGACTATCAAATATATCCCTAACTAATATATGACTTGTTCTTGCATTCTTGTAGCTCAACCAGTATGCCATGGCCCTAGCAACGCCAAGGTTATGGGTTTGATTCCCAGGGAGTGCATGAACGAATGAAATATATACCTTGAATGAAATGTGCCTTGGCATAAAAGCATCTGGCAAATGTATAAATGTAAAGAACTCAACCTCTTTCCTGAATATTACTCCCCTTTCTTCTGTAAAGCTACCTTGAAATAATGTGCATTAAGTAAAGCACTATATAAATAAAAATGTGACTAACCAGTGGCATGGGCTCCACAAGAGCTTCAGGTGGACGTGGTAGTCTGGCGGCCAACAGTGGGGACAGGGACATAGGGGCAACTCCATCCTGCTCTACCTGATCCAATTCACTCAGCTGTTGTGTGATAGAATCCATTTCCTCCTGCAGTTTTTCAGTGTGGACACTAATCTCAGTTATCTTCTCAGCGGCCTGGGCAGTGAGGAACGCCTCCTTTAGATCCACCAGGTGCAGGACACGCCACTCCTCTAGGCGAACCAGCCTATGCAGCTCATCGAACTGCTGGTTCACGTACTGCTCCAGTTCTTCTACACTCATCTGAAACATTTACAAACATTTCCCTTTAAAACGAATCCACTGAGAGTCGTAAGATGACATAAACAAGATTAGATCTTGCATCTTTTACAGCAGGGTTGACATTGAAAGTCTGTCACAGCCACTGCTACTTTCATACAAGAGCACCCTATTGAACCAGGTGTGTGATTACAAATGTAAGAATCTCTCTTTAAGGGATAGTTCACCTTCAGTTAGTCCCCATTGACTTGCACTATTTTTTTTTCTCTATACTATGGAAGTCAGTGGGGACCAGAAACTGAATGTGAACTATCACTTTAAAGGGGCCATATGATGTGATTTCAAGCTTTCCTTTCTCTTTGGAGTGTTACAAGCTGTTTGTGAATAGATAAGATCCCTAAAGTTGCAAAGACTAAAGTCTCAAATCCAAAGAGATATTCTTTATAAAAGTTAAGACTCGTCCACACCCTCCTAAAACGCCTCGTTCAAACATGCTCCCACATGACTACGTCACTCTTTGGGAAGATTTGCATAACACCGCCCAAATGTATACGCAACGAAAGAAGGTGTAACTTTGATTCTCGCTGTAGTATTGTTGCCGCCACCATAACGTGGAGACGCTGTGTGTTTCGTTGTGAAAGCGAAACTACTTTGTTTGGCCTTCCAAAAGAGGACACAACTAGAAATCAGTGGTTAAGTTGTATTTACAACACTGTTCCAGAACAGTTCAAACCAAATATTCAGATGTGTGCAACGCATTTTACGGAGGACAAGGACTGTTTCC